CTTTATTGAACCTCATACAATTGGCCTCTCTGCTTGTATACATTTCCCTCCTCTTTATACTCGCTCTGTGGCCCTTCTTCTCTCAATGTCTTCTACAAGAAAATAAGGAAGGGATACAGCATTTGAGGGAAACACATGATCAAATACATTGAATCTTGTGGATGAAACAGCTAGTATAATTTAGGGAACAAAATAAGTAATGTGTCATTCCTGAAATTCTGTTGTAGTGGCCCCCATTCTGCTGCCATTTCATCGATCCGCTGTCACTGTGGTCAGTTCAGCTCACTTGCTGTTTCCACCTCAGGCAGGCACAGTGCACACAGGTCACCGTTTGTTGAAGATATTTTAAACCCTCTATTGATTAGTCCTCCAGTAAGGCCCATGAGATGTTCTGATGCTTGAGGGTTTGTTAGCTGTCTCCTGGTGACGCGAGGCATGGCTCCTCAGGTTACTGACATAACTGGGGGTTGCTCTGCTTTTCAGTGTTCTTAATATAGTCTGCAAACTGCCCTGGCAACTGCATACCGTTACGGCAAGTGACTTCAGGTTGTGTGTAAACGACAGCTGCTATGTACATGGAGAATTGATATTGTTGTCGTTTATAAAAGCCAAGAGGAATGACTTCTGTTGGTGTTGACAATGAAAGAAGCCAGCTCAAAGGAATGAGAATAGATGTTCTTTCCAAGGCTGTGGTTTTTATTTCTGTTTGGATCATTACTGTGCATGAGAGGGTGTACATTCCTTCAAATGGCTGCCATGGTTGGCTATTTTTCCCGTGATTTACAAGTCAGAGGTTGAGTGGAGCAAGCTTTAAGTTACTTTTAACTGCCAAAGTTTTGCAGAAAACATATATTTTTCTTTCTTCCCCAAGAATTTACATTGGCCACTTAAGAGACACTAGATGAAAGAACCTGAAGCTGTCATTTGAGTCCTGCAGCTGCCTTACAGAGGAACAAATACAATGGAAGTAGCAAGTTTGCTGACATAGCTTGCCCAGTTTACATTCTTTTATGTAATTTTGAGTTGCAAAAGTATGAAACATTCTTTCCACTAAGATGTTGCTTAGGTTATTATTGGAGTTAACTAGATTGTGTTCTAGAGCACCCTGTCATGCTGGTGACAATCCTGTTGAATTGTGTTGTGCAGCAGAGTATAAATAAAAATTTACTTTCATATGAAAAACTATCACGTCTTCCCCAAAGCCAAATACATGGTTGTTGAATTGAGAATGACACTATTGGAGAATGTAAAAGTAAATCTGTTGGCTGAGTCAGGAGACAATCTGCATTTCCATATGTACAGTTGTCATTAAAAGGCTGTTTACAAGAAACTGTTACTCTTCTCAGTCACTGCCTGATGAGTTCTTCATGGCGGCCCTCCCCTGACAGGGAGGCAGGGCTGCAGAGGGGAAGGGGCAGGTATAAAGGATGTACTTACAGTAAGAACCATGGGCTGTCCGGGATCCTCACCTGTTAGCATTGATGCCTGTTCTAGCCCTTTAAACCCACAGTTGAATTAAAAGTTAACTTACTTAATTTAAAGTTAAATATTGAAAATTGACAGCTAACTGGTGGCTGATGTTAACATTTAGTTTAATTGAACAGGGTCATCTGGCAGCTTTTTGCCGTTTCAGTGCCCCGCTGAACCACCACTTCATTCAGCATGTGGGAGGACCTCAATACATGTTTTGATGACTGAAATAGATACTGCAGAGTAGTGTTCTTTTGGTACTATACTACACACATGAAATCTGTAATTGTTTTAAACCTAACAAAGATCACAGACAAACTGCTGATAGAGTTAGTTTCTACACAGGTTTTGATACTGAAGGAGGTAAAGCATATTTGGGTATATTACATTAAAAACTAGGGCTTGCAAACTCAAGAAATTCAGAGCTGAAGGACATTAAAACTATTTGGGTACATGTACCATATTTAAATTTGTGTGCAGTTATGTGCATGATTATCAGGAAGGAAGCACTGAAAAGCAAGGAAAGCCTCAAATGCTCTGAAACTACTACTTTTTAAGTTTCCTAGTATGTACATTGGGTTTGAACTTCATTTTCCCTTAGATTTTTTTCTGATAGAATTATATAAAATAGCAGGTTCATTCCAAACAAGGTTCTAAAAAGAATAAAATACACTCTGTAGAACAAGCAGTAGATCTTATTACAGATTTTAAAAATCCTTTTAAAGATTTGACTTGGTCTTCTATAGAAGTATTCACAGGAGCAGTCCTCTATGGACAAGTTAGTCTAGCTTCATAAAAAACGCTAAAGACCTATAAATAGACAGGTTTTTTTTGATTAATGAAAGCAGCAAACCAAAAGACCCCAAACATTACAGGTTTGTTTTGTAGTGTAACCAGAGGAATTGTTTGCAATGTTTTTCTTCACCTCTGAAGTAATTTGTTGGCCGAGGCATGAAGACAAGTCATTGACTCGTGTTATTTCTCTTCCCAGACTTCCCCATGCAATTATGGGCACTGTTTTTGTCATGGTGGACACAAACTATTTACAGTAGATATTTTGGTTTGTGATGGCAGCAGATTGTTTTGCAGGTGAAAAAGTCAACATTCAGAATTTTATTTAAAAGTCAAATGCAAAACTTGGCTTGAAATTGTTGGGTTTCTGAGCCGAGGAACATGTGCTTTTCTTAAGTATTTGAAAAGAGTTTTCAAAGAAAAAACACCACTAATCATAAATTATAGACAATAATTTTTTTAAATGAACCAGGCCCTTAATTATAACCTATTAATATGTACAAGTATGATCTTTTATCATGATTTAGATACTATTTTAGAGGAACTTGTAAATAAGTGGGAAGGAATATTTTCAATGAGAAGCAATCTTGTTTGCTTGACATTGTTGAGCTCCTTCAGAACTTTCCATGTGATTTTTAGTGTACAATTTTTCTCATTTAAATCCCCTTCTTACTGCTTAATTGAAATTACAGTGTCATTTGATATAGAAGTATTCATAATAATCCAAATTCATTATTATGAGTTCAAGAAATTTGCTTACAGAGTTAACAGTATCTCTGAAAGCAACCACAAAAGAAACCGGCATACCTGTAAAAAGCAAACTTGTGCCTCTTTGAGTGTGTCTTCTGAGTGATTTATTTTAAGGTAATGTAGAAAATGTGTATTTCTTACAAAAAAAAAATCACTTTTGAGTTTTTCTTTTGTGTAAGTTGTTATTACAGCATAACTGGAGAAATATTTTTAAATAATTATAACAGAAAAACATTTTAGGAGCATACTAATATTGTAATTAACTGATCCTCTAAAATGCTAAGTGATGTTTTACTGATTGTGTTTGTTTTTTGTTTAAAGGGAGAGAGAGATGCATGGTAATCTGACTTCTAGGAAACACTTGATGGCAAATTTTAATTCCTGTGTAATAACCAATTCTCCTCCTAAAAGTATAAACTGGTTAGATATGCAGTATTTTTAAAGGTCAGTTTACTTTGCTACTTTTAAAATTATTCCTCCAACTACAATGGAATTGCTTTCAAGAAACAGAGTTATCCTTGGTGCTCCAATGTAGTCTCTTGGCAGCGGTAGCTTCACAAGCCTTGGAGCTTGGAGAAGGGCTTTGCTGCTCTTGATTTGCGTGTGTCTCTCTCTCTCTCTCTCTTGCTCTGCTCTAGCTCTTGCTCTAGCGTTGTGCTAAACAAAAGGAAGTTTTTCTGCCTTGTATCTGAGACAGTTAAAAGCTAATCCTTATATACGGTGTATTTTAAAGTGTTTTCACTGATTAATTTAAAGTCTTGCACTTCTTCCTGTGCTGTCTCTGCAGTTTATAGGATGCAGTCATGTTATGCTTCTTTTAATTTTAATGACCGTTTGCTTTGCTTTTCCTTCTTTTTGTGCTACAAACATAGTGGATTTATGGTCTGTGGGGTGCATTATGGGCGAAATGGTTTGCCACAAAATCCTCTTTCCAGGAAGGGACTGTATCCTTGTGCTGCTGCAGCAGGTTGAATTAGTTAGGAAGTAATTAACCTTTTTATTGATGTTGTGTCATGAAAATGCATATTGTACAATTTTTATTTTTTTTTATTAAATGAACATGGATTTTTTTCTTGTGATACGCTTAAAAAAATTTGTTAAGAACTTCATTTATATTCAGGCTGCACCTAGCAGTAGGACATAGTCTCTGCTGGTCCTGTAGTTAGCATATATTCACCTTCACTCATTTTCATTACACACGCTTTTTAGAGTCACTTCATGTGTGTGTGTGTCTAGATATTTTTATTTATTTTAATAACTATCTTTTTTTTAATAACTATCTTTTATGTTAATATCATTGCATTTTGTTTTCAGTTGACATTTGGTCAGTTGGGTGCATCATGGGAGAAATGATCAAAGGTGGTGTTTTATTTCCTGGTACAGATCGTATCCTTACCTTTGGCCTAGGATGTAGTTGTAAAAGGTCAAAAGATACTGCAGCAATATAGTTGCAGATTAAGGTGGTTCTAATTTTTTAAATAATGGTTTTAAACTGCCTTTTCAAAATACAATTTGCAAGTTCGTTATTTTGGTTCCAGGAAGCTGCAAAAAATGTCTACAGTTATACCACTTAAAGCAAAACCACAACAGAGCATTAACGTGTATGACTGTTTTTAGAGAGTAATACTAAGCAAGATGAACAAAATACCACTCGGGCAAACAGGCTTGTTTTTCCTTTTTCCATCTTCCTTTTTTTCCCCTTCTTTTTGCTTTTTCCAGTTCAATATAGTGTCTATCCATTGCTTTTGGATGTTGTCACATTTAAGACAGTTTTCTTTTGTTTAGGTGGTGTTTTACTGGTTCGCATGCATTGATTTTTGCTTTGGAGATAATTTTATTGTATTAATTTATTAATCTTGTTTAGTACCCAAGCATGTTTGCAGTTATTATTCTTTACATTTTATAGGAAATGTTTACAAAAAATTCCTAACCGACTTAATTAGTTGTACTCTGGATTATTATGTTTTAGTGTGCAGAAATGATCCTGCAAGCAGCTCTCAGAGATATCTGACACTTCTCTCTTTATATTCCATGAATGACTTGGTGGTATCTGAATGGGTTGTCCTGTGAAACTTCAGAGAAATGGTCTGCTCCAAGCAAATAGAGCTGAAACCTCTGGATCTGATTAGAGTTTGGCGTCTTACTTTTTTTTACTAGTAGTTGCACTTCAGTTTTTTAGATGCCGTCCAAAATCTTTCCTGCTTTTGCTGCAGGTTAACGGTTTAAAAATTGATATAGTACCATTTAGGGATGAAAATTGGGTGAAGATTTTAAGGCACAGTGAGGGGATCCAGGAAATCCTTACTTTCACACAGCTCTGTCATTGCATGAGCTGCACCATGCTTAGCTTTATGCATCTGGTTTGCTAGCATGGCTTTTCAATTTAGGATCAGTGCCATACAGTGTAAATACTTTTTTTTCAAGGCCTGTACTAAAACACTGTGCAGCTTGAAAACCCGTATATAAAGGTCTGCTGTTAAGTTTTAAGAGCATAAGAGGGGGCCTGTTACGTCTGACTGAAGGTTTAAGTAGCCCAGTATCCAGTCTTTGATGGGAGCTGAAAATAAAAAGTTAGGGACAATATATGAGTAAGTACATATAAATTTTACCTGAGCTCTCTCCCAGTGTCTAACCATCTGCCACTAGGAATTCCTGAGCCAAACTAGGAATTCCTGAGCCAAATGTTCCTTACACATCCTTGAGGCTCTTTAACTTCTGCATTCAAGTCTTTGAAAAATTGTCATTGATCTGTGAGCCAAGATTTCATCCTTCGTGTGCCTGCTGGTGCTCAGTGTTGCACGTCCCTAGGGAGAGACTGCTAGCCTTGGGCAGTCCAGGGCTGGGCTGATGTATCAAGATGAGAACGAAGGATAAAGCACCTACACAGGGTAATTCTCACAAGTGCCTTTGTGATGTGTAGTGGCTCGACTATTGTGAATATGTGTTCAGATCAGGAAGTCAGTTCTTCTCCAGAACCTAGACAATGCCTTCATTAACATTTGTTTAATACATTTTGTGAGTCTTTTAATTTTCTCTGTTTCTCAGAACTAGTTCTTTGCTAGTTATGATTCTGAGTAAAATACGTTGCCTTGACTACTCTATCATAATCTTGCTTTGTTTCACTATTTTCTCTAAGAAGGTAGTCCTAATTAATGATGATGAACTTCGTATTTTCTTAATTTTCTGTGTTTTCTCTGTTGGTTATTTCATGTGGTTTTAACATAACTTTCTAGATGAAAATTAGAAACAGTGTTTTTCTTAGCTGCATACCCTTAGATATTGATCAATGGAATAAAGTTATAGAGCAGCTAGGAACACCATGCCCTGAATTTATGAAGAAATTACAGCCTACAGTCCGAACTTATGTGGAGAACAGACCTAAATATGCTGGATATAGTTTTGAAAAACTCTTTCCAGATGTCCTTTTCCCAGCTGACTCTGAACACAATAAGCTTAAAGGTAAGGTCTGTCTTCTGTATGCTGTATATTTCAGAAGTTTTAAAACTGTAATATATGGAACAGAAATGTATCTTGGTTTTGTTCACTATAAAATCATCCTGCAAGGATTTAAATATTACAACATTTGTATCATGGGAGTGATGAATATGCTGGTGTATGCTTACCTCCACTTTCTCATCTTCTCTGAAACAGCTCCTATTCTGCAGATACCTTTACAAAGAGAAGTAAATACAGTGACAGATGCCAACATAATTTAGAGAAGAGTGGGGGGAGGGTGGGGGGAGGGTGGAATA